CTTTAATCCCAGACTCAGGGAGGCAGAGGGAGACAGATCTCTGTGAGTCTGAGGCCAGTCTAGTCTTCAGAATCAAGTTCCAGGACAGCCAAGGCTACACAGAGAAACCCTATCTCATAAAACAAACAAAAAGATTGAGAATATAGCTCGGGGGTAAAGCCCTTGCCTAAGCATGCACAAGGCCCTAGTTTCATACCACTCTGTCCCTCAGGAGTTGAGCAAAGAGTGGTACAAGTTACATTTAAGAAAAAATGTTGGGGGCTGGAGAGATGGCTCAGTGGTTACGAGCACTGTCTGTTCTTCCAAAGGACCCAGGTTCAACTCCCAAAACCCACATGGCAGCTCACAACTGTCTGTACTTCCAGTTCCAGGTGGTCTGACACCCTCATACCAATGCACATAAAACAATGTTAAATAAATTATATATTAAAAAATTGTTTAATTGTGTGTGGTGTGTTATGTAGGAGTTATATTTGTGCACATTTGCCACAGTGTCATATGGAGGTCAGAACAACTTTGGGGGTTAGTTCTGTCCTTTCACCAGAGGTTCTGGGGATCAAGCTCAGGTTGTCAAGCAAACGCTTTTACCCACTGAGCCATTTCCCTGAGCAACATTTTAAAGGAGACCAAAACCGTAAGGGTGTAATAACCCCTACTGGGGAAACCACTATGTGTTCCCACAGATCCGAGAACCAGGGGAGGATTAGCTGGGACTAATGAGGACTGATGCCAAGCCGGCAGCTTAAACGGGGCACCTGCAAGTGCTCCCGTATTAAAGGGCCATGCAGCACACCCAGACATTTTTCTCAGTTGTATCCAATGGGACTGCTAATAGTCCTGTTATCCCAGTTAGGTTTACCTGGTCTTTCTTCTTTTGAAGATTCACAGTGCATTAGGAAAGCAGAACAAAACATTTACACCCCTCAACTCTGTACTGTTCAAACATACCGACTAGGTAATGTTTCCTTTCTTTTTACTCCCAGGCTGGCTTTGAACTCCTGACCCTGTTGCCTCCACCTCCCAAGTACTGGGCATATAAGCCTACCCGCAGGCTTCAACTCTTTTCTTGTTTTCTCCGGTTGTTAACACCCCAGGAGAAGCTGTGTTCTACAGGACACACATAGGGGGCACTGCTCTGCAGTACCCTTTATGTACACAGGTTGATTTTTAAAGCCTTAACAAGTTAACTCTTTGAGAACGTCATCACTGTATACAACATACTTCGATCATATTTGCTCCTCACTCCCTCTACTTTTATTTTTAATTTTCTTGCCAAAGACCACTTTATATCCACTTATTTCACCTGACCCTTGTAATGACCCACCAAGATGGGTAACAGGTGGTTGTAGTTGTTGGGGCTCAATGGTAGAGCACTTCCTAACATGCATGAGGCCCTGGGCTCCACCTGCAGCACGGAAGCATGGTGTGACTGCTCTTCTGTCGCCTGCCCTACGCTTACCCTGAGCCTCATGCTGGGCCAAGTGCCTCTCCGCTGAGGTGTCACTTGACCATCATCAACAGCTCTGCAAACAAGGTGTCCTTGTCTCTGTCCGCTGAGGAAGCAGGCCCCAAGAGCGGGTGAAGGGCACAGGGACCAGCCCGGAGACCCGATTCTAAACCCCTCACTCTTGATCCCCAGTAAAAGAAATATGGAGACATAGGCCATCCACTGTACAGAGGAGGTGGGTTCATTTCCTAGACACCGGAGGGGACAGAAGACGGCCCCTGCCCTTTTTGAGGACTTTCCACCTAAGTCTCCAGAGTCACCCCCATTCTTTTCTGAGGGAGCTGTTCTTTGCTGACTGATTGTTGGTGTCTCATTCGTATGCATGACTCCTTTCCCATACTGCAGCTCTGGAAAACTTGCTACACTCCTAGCCCTGACGGTCCGATCTTGAGTGTACAGCACAGTGGTACAGCATCTACTTAGCGTTCGTAGGATTCCATCCTTAAGGAGTTATAAATCGTCGTCCATTAGTCCCTGCACAAGGTGGGAGAGTCACCGCACGGGTGTGGTTCTTATTAGTAACAGCAATAGAGAGGTGGAGAGACCCAAATATGGGACAGGGCTTCAGGCCCCCCGTCTTACTGAGTCAGAGGTAGAGGAGGGTGTGAAGATGAGGGAAGTGACAAGCTGGGAGTTGCCACTGCCTGGACTGGGACCAGGACCAGCTAGCTCAGATAGGTTTCAGTCCCGGAGGGAGCAGGGCCTGGCAGGTCTCTCTGCCAGCCTCTCCCCTTCACAGCAAGGGAAACTGGGACTCTGGATCTGGCTCTTCCCTCAGCTCCTTAGCCTGATGGTGCTGGAGGTGGGAATGCTGGAGAACAGATTCATTGGGAGGTTGCAGCTGGCTCTAGATACCGGACACTTGCAATCTAAAGCTAAGAACTGGATGAATATCCCTTATCCAAAGTGCTTAGGACCAGACATAGTTCAGATTTTTGAATATTTGCATGTATATTCTATATAAAATGGGATTTCTTAGAAATGGGACCCATTGGCCAGGCACTGTGACACACACCTGTAGTGCCAGCACTCAGGAGGCAGAGGCAAGCAGATCTCTGTGAGATTGAGGCCAGGCTGGTCTACAGAGTGAGGCCAGGACAGCCAAGGTCTCGAAAAACCAAAAGGGGGACCTATTGATTACAAAAATCAATACAAGGTCTCATGCTTCCAGGACATGGGCCCTGAGCTTGCGTAGCTGAGGCTCATCTTGAACCCCTGATCCTACTCCCCTTCCACGTGCTGGGACCACAGGTGTCTGCCACCACACTCAGTTTATGTAGCGCTGGGCAAGCGTTCTAACAACTGAGGGTCACATCTTAGCTCCTAAAACTCATATTTCTTATGTACTGTATATGCACAGCCTAAAGGTAGTCTGGGCTTTGGCTTATTTTGAGAAGAGTCTTCTGTAAGCCCAAACTGGTCTTGCTATATATCTAGACTGGCCTTAAAACCTCCTGACACTTTTGCCTCTCCTTCCCAACTACACTGCCACACCCAGCTATAAAGGTAGTTTCATATAATTTCAGGGGGTTGGGATAACGCCCAGAGTTCTTGAGCATGGTAGGCAAGTGCCGTATCAATGAGCTACATTCCCATTTGGTATCTGGCTTTTTTCTTTTCTTTTTATTTTTTTGAGGTAGGATCTAGAGGTGTGGCCGTAGCCCAGGTTAGCCTTGAACTTGTGGCGGTCTCACCGTCTTAGCCTTTCAAGTCCTTAGGCAATCTTTTGAAATGGGCCTACATTTTGAGCACACATCACAAAGTTAGGTGTGGAATTTTCCACTTGTGGCATCCTGTTGCCACTCAAGTGCTTTGGATTTCCAAGCATTTCAGATTAGGGAATTTGAAACTACGTAGCTACCATTTTAATATTTCACAATGTCTCACAATGCTAAGGATTCGTTGTGCCTGGTCTCGCTTACCTCCTGTTATAATCCTGTGCATTGTCCTGCTCAAATGAGGAACCTGGGGCCATCAAGGTTACAGAACCCACCAAAGGTGAAATATATGGGAATGTGAATCAAGGCCAATCTGGACCCAAAGGACGTTTCCTTAATCCTGACCCATGCAACTGGTTCTTGACTGTCTCGCTGCAGCTGACAAAAATGCATGGGGCACAGAACAGCACACACACAGTTCTCTTAACCTCAAAGTTAGGACAGGAGGCAGCTCCTTAAAGGCTACTTTCTCAGTCTCAGAGAAACTAAGTCATTTGCTTGAGGACTTGTACAATCTGCACCGATCCTCTCATCTGGTCTCAGTTCTCACAGTGTAAATAAGGACAGCCATTTATAAGCGCATAGCTACAGCCCCCAGAAAGCTGTGGTAGTCCCTACTTTCGCTCAGCCACACTTCGCTGCACTCACTGCACAAGGGTTCCTGGAACCTCACTCACCACGTACTTGGAGGGTGGGTCCTTGACAACATTGGCGCTTGTCACCTCAAAGAGCAGCCGCTGTGGAACTAGGGTGTTCCGAGACTTCCTCCAGAAATCCTGCAGCTGCCGAGCCAGGAGTTGACTGCCCCGCTGTCCATCAGGTGGGGGACTTCGTTCTGCACAAGCACATGACCAGTCATATTAAGGTGCTAGCTAGCGCCAGAGTTAACGTGAACAAAATACCATGACCTCATTCACGCGAGAGAGATGGGCTTTATCCCAGCGCTTCTCTTACAGTAGATGCTAAATCTCCACCCAAAGCAGCTAGCACCCCATACGTTTTGTTTCCCTCGTCCTGTGCATTTAATATCCACAAAAACCCCGAGATGAGGTGGTTCCCACGGTGCTGTGACTCAAGGTCACACTGCCAAACAGTGTCTGGAAGAAATTAAAGAGTCAAGAGTTTCAGGGGATAACACAGAGGCCCCGGGATGCTCTCGGAACGCGTCCAGCGGGGAGGCCTAACCGAGCCCCGGGGTTCCTGTCTCTGTCCTCCCGCACTCGCCTGCGTCTTCTCCCGATGTCCCGTCTCCGGAGGGCAGAGAATCGGGGCCCGCCTCGTCGTCCTCGTCCTCGTCGTCCGGGTCATCTTCTGCACTGGTGAAGCTGAGGGTACCGCTGAGGCGGGAGGACAGGCCCTCGGCGTCGTCGTCCTCCAGCTCGGAGCTCTCAGGGAACTGCTCGGTCTCTGGGCCCGCCGCCGCCTCCCCGGGGCCATCGCTAGCCAGGGCGTGTCGCAGCCGGTGCAGGAGCCGCGAGGCCATGGCACCCAGGGGGGAACGCGCCACGCTGGGTCCAGGGCCAGAGAAGGAGGGGACCCCAGCCCAGAGAGGGGCCCGGGGGCGTGTCAGGGGGCGGGGCACAGGAGACCACGCCCATAGGCAGCGGCAGCCGGGAGCCTGCAGGAGGCCATCCTCTACCCTGTCCCTCTTGCAGGCGGGGAGGCGCTTCCACCCACAGCGTCCCAAGTGCGTTCGGGGAGGACTCCCAGGATTCGGTGCAGCGGCCCCCGGCTTTAAGAGGCTCTCGGCCCAGGCCGTTCACAGCGCCGCCTCGCCGCTTCCTGCCGCCGCTCTGCCCCGGCTCCGCCCTCTCCCGGAGCTGCTAGAGTCCCAGGCCTCCGCCTTCGGGAGGGACTTCGGAGAGCAGCCGGGCGAGCCAGGCCTCCCCGGAAACCGTTTCGATCGTGCTTGCTGCCCGTTCCCCCTCCTGGTCCCATCCCATCCCTCCTAACCTCCCGGGACAGCCCCAAGCTTTCCCCCTAATTTCCATACAGTGCTGTGTAACTTTATTGTGTAATTTCGCGGCATTTGGGAGCAAGGCTCTTTGAGAGAAGCTTGAAATCCGGCCTCGCCCTTCCTAGGTTTTCTCTTATGAAACAAGAATACTCATACTAAATTTTCAGCTCTTGTAAGAACCTCCAGTGCCTGGTGTGAGCGTATCTAGGCCTTTCCAGTTTTGTTTGAGCTTCGCCTATGGGAAGTAGACAGGAAAACAGATCCAGAGAGGCTGTTACTTGTCCAAGGTTGCAGAGTTTGCCAGAGATTTGTAGCGTGGAGCTCTTGAGCCGATTTCTTTTCCCAGGCTCCCAGGCTCGGTCGGGTAGCAGCGGTCAAGAAAACGATTGCTGATCCCTGTCGCCAGCCTAGACGTCAGGCCTAGCAGGGCAGATTCGGCCAGTTAGACAAAACAAGGTATCTCACAGGCCAGGTATGGTTGCACGGTGGCTCAAGCTTTAATCCCAGCACTCGCAGAGGTGGGAGGTAGAAGGATATCTGCGAACTCAAGGGGGCAGAGGTAGAAGGAGTTCTGCGAGTTCAAGGCTAGCCTGGTCTACGAGGTGAGTTCCAGGACAGCCAGAGCTATATAGAAAGATCCTGTCTCAAAATAAGATATCTTACACAGTATCTCTTAGCCTGTCAGGGCACAGGAGAGGGATGGAAAGATACTTTTGAATGGAAAGGCCTTTCTGGACTTTAGTGAACAGAAGGGTCTCGGTTTTTAGGACTCATGATGTCCTGTTTTCAGTATTTCACACACGGTCACAGGTCCATCATAAAGGATGAAGAAACAGAGGATGGGGCTCAAGAGATGGCTCGGTGGTTGAGAGTGTGTGCTGTTCTTGTGGAGGACCAGAACTGGATTTCCAGCACCCACAGCTGGTGGCTCAGAACCACCAATAGCTCCAGGGGACCCATGCCTCCAAGGGTACCTTACCTGCACACATGTGCACAAAACTCAAACACAGACACACACGTACACATGAAAAGAAAATAAATCTTAGAAAAAAGCCAACATGGTTGTGCACACTTTGAATCCCAGCACTGGGGGGGCCAGGCAAGTGGATCTCTGTGAATTAAAGGCCAGCCTGGTCAGCATAGTGAGTTCTAGACCAACTAGGGTGACAGTGAAACCTGAGAAAAGGGGAGGTTTTCCCATCTTCTGGAAAGTAGAGGAGCTGAGACTTAGACTTGTTGATGATTTCCAACTTTATCCGCTCTGCATTTGCTTCTTGGCAGACTGTGAGGACAAAAGAGACATTTCACACTTTTTCCTACTATTGGCTGATTATTCACCTTTCCTTTGGTATATGCCACACAAGGTGGGTGCCCAGCTGAGGGTCAGCCAGGCATAATTAGGCACACCTGTAATTTCAGCAGGCTGAGGCAGGAGAATCAAGGCTCAACTCAACAACACCTAAACAAACAGGAAGAAATGAAGAAAAAACAAAGAAAGGGTGGAGAGATGGTTCAGAGGTTAAGGGCACACTGGCTGTTCTTCCTAAATGGTCCTGAGTTCAATTCCCAGCAGCCACATGGTGGTTCATAACCATCTATAATGAGATCTGGTGCCTTCTGAACCCAAGTCCTGATGCTCCTGTGACACATACAAACAGAGCCATCTCCCCATCACTGCTTTCTGTTTTTTTGTTTTTTTTTTTCAAAGATGTATCCAAGGCTGGCACCGAACTCCTTATGCAGTCTTGAATTCCCTATCTTCCTGCCTCCACTTCCTGATTACAGCTGCCACACTGGGTTTTTGTTTGTTTGTTTGAATTGTTGTGGTGGTGTGAGTGTGGACTCACATGTAACATGTGCAAGTGTGGAAGTCAGAGGACAACTTTTGGAAGTATTTTCCCCTCCCTGAACCATACAGGATGTTTGAGGGGGAGAAGGGATACAGGAGGAAGTTATTCGAAGGTTGAGGAAGACGACAGAGGGCTTCCAGCATATGCAAAGTCCTGCTATTCATAAAGGGCGGTGGGTATTTGGCCAGAGTGGAGCACCATGCAAGAAGATGAGGAGAGAGAGAGGAATGAGACTGGGGCGGCTATGGTTCTGTTTGGCTACGCTCAGGGCCTTGGTTCTTACTGTTTCACCCAAATAAACACAGCAACAAATGAGTGAGGGATGTTGCTGAAGGTTGCCTTCCCTCTGTCACAGAGACAAGAGATCCTAGTGTGCATTGTCCAAGTTGGACTCCTCTGAGCATCTGATCCTCTGCCTGGCAGGGGGAGGCCTTATTTAGCCTGGCCTGGCTCCCTGAGCTTTCTTGGGAATGTCTATATATAGGGGAAGAGTGCAGCCCAGTTGCCACTGTCCATCTGCCTTCCTTGGAGTCTGGTCCGCCATTCCCTGGCCCCGGGCTTAGTCGTCTCCATGTTCTTTCTGTTGATTTAGCAACTGTCCATGGGCCTTGCCTACCTCACTGCTTAGCCCGGACCCTTGGTTTTCAGGGTGTGTTCCCTTTTGACTCCTTCTGCCCCCACATCCACTCTACAGAGGATCAGCTGAACTCTGGGTAGCCGCCCTCTTTCTCATTTTCATAACTATATGTGTATTTATTATTATTACTTCATATATAAGCTTACATTCCAATCCCCAGGGTTTTCACAATAGAAATGAAATGGAAATAACCACACTGTCTGTCGAATGAGCTTCTTGCTCAGAAATGAAGCCCCATGGAACTCAGTGGGTACAGTGTCTACCCAGCATGCACAAAGCCCTGCTTTCAACTCCCAACACCAGACAGAAACAGGCATGATGGTACATGTGCAAAATCCCAGCATTTGGGAGATAGAGGCGGGAGGATAAGGAAGGTCAAGGTCATCCTCAGGTACATAGTGGCACCCATAGACATTTATAAAAACAAAAGTTTTAAAAGAATCACTGGGGCTGGAGGGATGGCTCAGAGGTTAAGAGCACTGGCTGCTCTTCCAGAGGTCCTGAGTTTAGTTCCCAGCAACCACATGGCGGCTCACAACCCTCTACAGTGAGATCTGGTGCCCTCTTCTGGTGTGCAGGGGTACGTGCAGACAGAACATTGTATACATAATAAATAAATAATCTTTAAAAAAAATCATCAAGGCCAGGGATGTAGCTCAGGTTGGTAGAGTGCTTTATAGCATGCACAAAGCCATGGCTTGGATTCCCACCCAGCGCTGCATAAATCTAGCGTGCCTATAGTCTCAGTGGTTTCGGAAACTGAGGGAAGAGGGCTGCTTAAGGCCAGGAATTGGAGGGCAGCTCGGTTGACAGTAGACACTCTTTTGCAAAATAAGTCAAAGGACTTAAACAGGCCACCACATATACCTGTAAATTCCAGGACTCTGGAGGTTAGAGGCAGGGTTCAAGGCTACCTTCAACCACATAAGGAGTTCAAGGCGAGTCTGGGGTGCATGAGATCTGGCCTCCAAAGGTGTGGGGGGGGGAAGAATTTCTCTTTAGACCTATATGACTTATGCTTTAGCCACATGGGGGTAACAACAGTTCCCACCTCACCGGAGTAAATACTGGATGAGATCATGCCGTTGGGATGCTCAGCGCAGTGTGGGGGATGGGTGGAGGGAGTTCAGTTCGTGCTGGCCTAGCCATCGATTCCCCCACTTGGGCCAAGCTAGGCCACTTATTCATCAGGGCTCACATTTGCCATTTCCATCTTGGAGGAAGGTGTGTTTTGAGGGGCTTCACCACCTGCCCACAGTCACATGGCTCAGAGGAAGAGACAGGTCTTGAATTTTGGACTTCGAGCCTGGGCACCCTCCCCATTTTGGAGCAAGTGTCCTGGGGGTGGGGAAAGGAGCTCCCTAAGACACTGTGGAGCATGGCAGGCCCTCCTCCTAAGAACCTAGGAGCACGTCAGAGCCTGCCACCTGCTCAGAAGCTTAAATTTCCCTGAGAAGGCCCTTGGCTAAATTAGGTAATGGGCTAGGACTCTGGGAGGGGTGGGGCTTGCTGACCCCTGGATCTGATTGGTCAGGGTATCCAGTTCTGGGGAGGAGGGAGGAGAGGAGAGAGGATGCCCCTACAAATCCTGGGGGCTAGAGAGATCTGGGGCACCTTTGGGTGGTGAAGTGTGGAGGAGGTGACCCACAGCAAGAGGAGTCTCAGTCACCAGCAACCATGGTAAGGACACTTCACTCTTTTGTTCACAGGCTCTTCTGGGCCTCTGTCTGTCCCAGAACTGTGTGTTCTGTGGCAGCAATGTGGACACTTGAAGGTGGAAGGTAAGAGTTGCTGGAACCCAGGTCCGGGAAGACATCCTGTGAAGGCTGTGACTTCTCTTGGGTAAGGGGGGCTGGTCAGGATATTCCAGGAGTTGATCCTCAAGGGCCTCAGACTGTCTGCTTCATAGGAAAGATGGAGGACCCGAGGGCAGAAAGGAGTCACCTAGCAAGTAGGCTTCATAGGCCCAGCCAAGCCTGTGGCAGCCAGAGAGGGAAGGCTTCGCTCTAAGAAGCCTGAGGCTGATGGTTAGTAGGGGGTGGGTGACAGGGGTGAGTTAGAGACCCTGAGCATCCACAGAGGGGGGGCTATTCTGGAGCTGCCATTTTCTTCCGAGTTCCCCCTCCACACTTCACTTGAAGGAGTAATTGGACTCCAGAGACCAGCTGCCATTGCCCATGCCCAACTAAAAATAGCCTGTCCTCCTGGATCAGGCCAAGGGAAGGAGTTGAGAAGAAGGACCTGGGCCAGCTGGCTGAAGAGTGCCTTGGGACTCATCACCCCTTCCTCACCACCAGCTCAAGTCCAAAGCCCTGACCCAGGTGGCCTAGCTTGGATAGGACCTGGAAAATTTCACAGAAACATTGCTTTCAGGGTCACATGTGGCGTTACCCACGTGTAAACCCAGTACTTAGGCATCGACAGGGGGAGTGGAGAATTTGAGGCCAGTTTGATTTACAGCGTGAGTTCCAGGCTAGACTATCTAAAAACCAAAACCAAAACGTTGAAAGAGAATAGAATCATATTTTCACGCGGAGGCAAGGAAGGCCCCATCACATTTGACACAGTGTGAGGGGTGTTTACTCTGATGACTGAGTGTGAAATTTCGCCTCTGCAAATGCTCTGAGGCGAAGCTGCCCATCTCTTCTTGTGGTCTCAGCATCTGGCCGCTTGGCAGATGTCCTATGACTCTGTATTCCATTATTTAGTGCAGGACAAATATTTACTGGCCAACCGGTCAAGTATCAGGCAGCAAGCATTAGGGGATAGGGGAAACTAGAAAGTCCCCCTTGAACGGTGCTAACACATTCGAAGCCCTCCCTCACGCCTGATTTCATAGTATCCCTGCAAAGCCATAGGAAGACTTGCCAAAGGTCACTGCTGGGATGGGGGCGTTTCCTGAGGATGAGCGAGAAACTATGGCACAACCCGTGTCCCCTCAGCACTGGGAGTGCGCACTGAGGGGCACCTGGTGCCGTGCCACAGGTGTGGAGTAGTTCTGGAGGGCTCAGGAGCACCTCCTAATACATGTGGGGTCAAGGAGAATGAAACTCGGGTGAGAATGCCCTTCTGCACTCTGATCCTCTCCCTTTCTTTCCTACAGACGGACCAACAGGCTGAGGCCAGGTCCTACCTCAGTGAGGAGATGATCGCTGGTGAGTGAGAGCGAGCCGTCGGGGGAGAAGAGGTGTGAGTGGGGCTGACAATCCGCTGGCCTCACCCATCCCTCCTGTCTTCCCCCCCCCCCCCCCCCCGTAGAGTTCAAGGCTGCCTTTGACATGTTTGATGCTGATGGTGGTGGGGACATCAGCGTTAAAGAGCTGGGCACCGTGATGAGGATGCTAGGGCAGACACCCACCAAAGAGGAACTGGATGCCATCATTGAGGAGGTGGACGAGGATGGTGAGTTGAGCCTTCCCCGGCAGGGCACACGGCGGGGAGAGGCTCCGCGCACACTGGGCTGAGCTTGCCTCCTCCCACCCCCACTGCTCCTTGCAGGCAGCGGAACCATCGACTTTGAAGAGTTCTTGGTCATGATGGTGCGCCAGATGAAAGAGGATGCGAAGGGGAAGAGTGAAGAGGAGCTGGCAGAGTGTTTCCGCATCTTTGACAGGTGCCTGGGGCTTCTGGGATCACAGACTTGGGAGAAGATGGAGCCCGCTGGCCTGATGTGAAGGAGCATGGCTGGCCAGGGTGGAGTTGTGACCCTGTGTTCGGCTCTGTCCCTCCCTCCCTCCCAAAGGAACATGGATGGCTACATTGACGCTGAGGAGCTGGCTGAGATTTTCAGGGCTTCCGGGGAGCATGTGACAGATGAGGAGATCGAATCCCTGATGAAGGACGGCGATAAGAACAACGATGGCCGCATTGACTTCGATGGTGAGGGCCAGCGGATGGTCTTGGCTTTGTGGGTGGGGCTGGGCACAGCCGAAGTTTCCTTTCACTCTCTTGAGGGCCCACAGGAGCCCTGGCCAGGTCTTTGCGCCCTGAGTGGTAACCCTGACCTCGTCCCTCTTCTCCGCAGAGTTCCTGAAGATGATGGAGGGTGTTCAGTAAAGAGCCGGCCTTCTCTTCCATCCAGATTGCAGGTCCCCTGGGCGTGGCCAACTCTACCCTTGCCTATCCTACCCCACGAGGGAAGGGCTGCTCCTTAGAGCTCTGTGGCTGGAAGGAATAAAAGCTGACAATGTAAAGCTGGCCTGACTGACCAGGAGACTGATTGAGGGCAAGGGGTCTTAGGGCTCTCCTGGCTGGCTTGGTGCTCAGAGCGTTCCCGGGAGAGGGGGGGCATAAAAAGGAGTGGGGGCCCAAGACTTGGGCGGCAGGGTGCTGAGCTCAACCGGCTCTGCAGGTTTGTGGCGGCTACAAACCTGCAGCTGGAGCTGGCCTAGGCAGCTCAGCAAGTGGGCCGCGCTGGCACCTGGTGCTGGAAGAGGCCCCCCCCCCGCAGGTTGAGCCGGCCGCCTGGGACGGACAGGGTGAGGGCGCGCGGAAGCTGGAACCCGGGAAGGCGCAAGGCTTCTTTTCTTCCACCATTTGTGGAACCTCTACGTTCACCTTCTGCAGGGTGAGGTTCACCAGCTGAGGAGAAGGGGGTCTGTCCATCCATCCATCCAATGTTACTGCTGCATGCAATACTTGGCTCCAGGTGCAAAGCTAGAAACGAGCATAGTTTCTGTCCCTGACCCTCATCTCCCTCTCCTCCCCTTCGGCTGAGCTCGAGAGGTCCAAGGGCATGACCTAGCTAAAAGGAAATCCTATCCCGAGGTAGGGTTCTTCTCACCCCCAGAATACCTTTCCCCTTCTTAGGAACCTGGCCGATTAGTCAGACCACAAGCCGCGGCTCAGATCCTATCTCCTTCCTGGGTCCCAACCCCCACTGGTTCAGGCAACGCCGTTAACCCCTACTACAACTCAATTGCTACCAGGCCGGAGCTAATTGAGTGAAGTGCTTTAGCCTGAGAGGTTGCTTGGGTTTGAATCCTCACTGACTGTGACTAATTCAACCCTTCTATGCCTCAGTTTCCTCATCTGTAAAACGAAGCTAGCGAATATTTATTGGAGGACAGGAGTTTAAGAATTCTTGTGTGTAAAGAGCTTAGAATAGCTCCTGACACACAGCAAATGTCATTTAATAAATGCTGGCACTTACTTGATTCTGGAGATGGAGCCAAGGGAAATCCTGGGCAAATGCTCTGCCACAGAGCCACATTTCCACTCTCTCTCTATATTATATATATATACACATAGCACATGTGTCTTTGGCTATTCTTAAAATCGCCTTTACTGGCATTACTTTTTATTTTTTAGACAGGCTTTATGTAGTCCTGGCTAGTCTGGTCTACACTCATTATGTAGACCAGGTTGGCCTCAAATCCAGAGTTCCACCAACCTCTGCCACCTGTGTGCTGGGGTTAAAGGTGGGCATCACCATGCCCAGCCTGCCATTATTCTTGAAAATCTCAATTTTGTTATTTCATTCATTATTGCCGCCCTCCCTCTCCATCTTTTCTTCCTTCACATAAACATTAAAAAAAAAAAAATGTGTGTGTAAATGTTTTACCTGCACGTTGTGTCTGCAGCAGACACATGCCTGATGCCCCAGGAGGCCAGATGATGGCATTGGATCCCCTGGAACTGGAGTTACAGATGATCGTGAGCCATCATGTGGGTATTGGGAACCAAGCCCAGGTTCTCTGTAAGAGCAAGTGCCCTTAACCACTGAGCCACTCAGACCCTAGACTTAAATTTTTTTTAAAAAAATTACATTCATGTTACATGTGTTTGCTGGTGTGTACCTGGGTAAGGCCAGAGGTGAACTTTTGGGAGTCATTTTTTCCTTAGCATTATGTGGGGACTGGACTGAACTCAGGCTGTCAGGCTTGCCAGCAAGCACCTCACAGCCCCTTTACCTCACAGCTTGTCTTCAGCCCATACTGGTGCTGGGGTTTAGAAATCAGCAATATTAAGTGCCTACTGTGTGCTGTCATTGCTTGCCTGGTTCTTGATAACAGTTGTCTCTCCTGCTCTGATCTTCGGCCAAGAGGATCCTAAGCCAGTCTTTAGCTCCTGTGGCCTTCAAGATGAAACTCAAGCAGCTGCCCCTCCCTCTCCTCCCAGCAGTGCTGGGGACTGAAAGTAGTTTCTCCAGCTCAGTAACAGGCAGGCATTTTGCCCTTGTACTCTACCTGCTTATCTAAGCATTTTGATATGGCTTTGAGCCCTGACACCCTTAGCACCCTGCAGAGCCTGTACCCCAAGACACACCCTTCCTCCTTTCTCTCCACTATAGTGCTCTCCAGCGGCTGAGACGGAGTCCTTTAAATCTCTTTATTTTTTTAATGAGAAATATTTAAGAGACAGTAGTCCAGGATGGGCTCAAACTCTCACTCCTCCTGCCTCAGCCTCCTGAGTATGTGCCACAATACTTGGCTTCTTCCTCTTTCAGCAATCCCACTATAAACAGTTTTGTTCGAACACTTTGATGTTACTGTGTGTATGATGTGTGTGTTTGTGTATGCACACAGTGTGCCTGTGAAGTCAGAGAATGACTGTGTGACTTGATGGAGGGAAGGTTATCAGGCTTGCTACTGATCTATTGCCTAGGCCCTAATTTGGTTTTTAACTAGCTATAACTCTGGGACCTTGGAACAGGGTAGGCCAGCTGGCCACACGAAGAGGACTAATTCCACTTCTGCATTTATCTGGAATTAAGTGCCAGTTTCTAAGTTCTCCTGTTCTCAGGCATCCTCTAAATCTGCTCTTCATTACTTTGATTTAAAAGCTCACAGGCCCCTCCCTTGTCTCATCCAGGTTCCTCCCTCCCCCTGTAGGTCTGTTCTAATCAGTTCTAGGTAGTGCTTCAAGGACCACACCTTTTTCCTTTGCTGAATCACAGGCTACTCCCATCAATGTTGAAGTCAGACCCTTGAGATAGGGCCTTGATAAGATAGGACTTGACTCTGTATAGACCAGGCTGGTCTTGAACTTATAGCCACCCTCCTGCCTGATCCCATGTGCCACCACCAGCATCTGGTTCACTTTCCCTTGCCTAGAAAGGGTATATCTCAGGCTGCCTTCAAACTATGAAGTCAAGGATGAGTTTGTGCCTCCTGGAGCTCTGGATTGACAGGCACACTCTAGGTTAATGTGGTTCTAGGGACAGAACACAGGGTCTCATGCATGAGAGGCAAGCATTCTACCAACTGAACCACACCCTTTGCTGAACATTTTCTATGTTAACTAGACCACAGCAAAAGTAACCTGGGGCTCTCCAGAAATGCAACCCTGGCCAACACCCCTCTCCCAGTGGAAGAGGGGTTTGAACAAGATCCCAAGTGGGTTTGTCCACATTAGGACTATAAACTCTATGCCCAAGAGAAAACTAGTAGAACTAACTTCTGAGCTGACAACTCAGTTTTTGTTTTTTTCACATGTGTCTGGTGGGAGGGGCTTAGGGATGAGCATGGGCTATCAGTAGTTAAAAGGGGTTGCTGAGAGCCTTCCTGACAGGCCAAGCCCTCTGCCTCTTCTCACAGGCCTGCACAATCAGCTGCTCAAAGGGCTGACAACTTGGGCAGGGCCCTAACACCTCCTGGAGGCCCAGGAGGTAACCCGCCCCCCTCCCTTCTCATGGAGCTCTCTGTGTGGGGAACTGAGTCTAGAGCACAGTCTTTGTCTTCCAGAGCTTGGGCCTGCTGTAGGGCAACCTGAGTTTGGTACGCCCCTGCCCCCTCCCCCAGATCTATAACATGTTAGAAAGTGGGTGCCTAGCGCTCCCCCCTCTCTCCTACACATTCTTGAGCTTAAGGTCTGCTTTAGCCTCATCTGTATCCCAACTGGAACTGTTCTCAAGAGTTACAGTGCGTTCCCCGTGCATGCTGTAATGCCTTGGAAACGAACATGAGTTTTGAATCCGGTCATGAGGACTGAACCTGGGTCTCACTTGTATTAAACATGCTCTCTGCCAGGGAGCTATATATACCTCTAGGCAAATAAGCATTAGTGTGACACCCATCTTATAGGTGAAAATATACGTGCAGAGTGATAAAGTAACTAAGACAGAAGACCACATCTCAGTGACCTCACAGTCTATCAGCCTCCTCCAACCCTGTGGAGAACAGGCCAGAGAACCCAGGTGTTAAGCTAGGCCCCTCTTATCCTCCAGCCGAGGGTAACTTTGAGGCAGCAATTTATACAAAAACAATCATCATGTATTTATTTAATATACATTGTGAGGGTTCAAGCAGACTTAATTTAAAAAAACAAATAAAACGAAAATAACACCACAAATCAAGGAAAGGACAGACCACCTAGGAACGAAGACAACACGAGAAGAGAGGCTGGACAGCTTGCATCAGGGCTCTTGACTGGAGACCTGCTTTGAATAGGTTTCTTGCAGGTACTTCTTAAACGCTGGAGGAGAAGATGGGGTCTTGGGTGAGTGACGGGTGGGGAGACTAGCAGGGCCCGCTCTCCCTGTACAGATGTACCTCTGTGTTGCCTTCTAGTTGGCTCCCTGACAGACTTGTTTCCAGAGCCCAGCAAAGGTACAGGAGATACAGTCTACCCAAAGATCTTAGTCTATGTGAGCATGGAAGAAGTAACAGGTGCAGAAGGAGCCCAACCCAGCCCCCAGGGTCCCTTTCAAGATTGGAAAAGGATCACTCTGAGCTGGAGGACGTACCTGTAGGGTTTTTCCAGAGCTCGGCAGCATGTGTGTTCAAAGGGCTATCGATGTTGGGTTCTGTGGAAGAAGTCAGAGCAGTCAGAGGGATAAAGAGGGCAGATCTGGGGAGCCCTGGCAAACTTCTGTTGTGGACAGGGGTGGGTAGTCTCAGAAGTTACCTCCCAGCAGGCTCTGGATAGAGAGCAAGATGGTCCTGACATCATACAGTGCGGACCACTTATCCTTGAGGATGTCCAGGCAGATGTTGCCCTGGGTGTCCACGTTGGGGTGGTAGCAGGGCGTGAGGAACTTCACTGTGGGCGCATTGTAAGGGTAGCCACTGGGGAACTCTAGGGAGAGTTTATACCTCAGGTCTTCGTATACCTGGCATTTGGGGAGAGAAGCGCAGAGTAAGTGCCCCGGCTGGCCTTGTGCATGCCGCCCCATTCCATCCTGCCAGCTCCAAGCCCCAAATAAGGGTCATGCAGGTAGGAACTTTTGAGTTTGTTTGAGCCTGACCAGCAAGCTCTATGTTCAAGTTGGTCCCTGGTGCTTTCTTCCTATCAGTGACTCTTTCAAGTCAAAAGAGCTACCAGAATTGCCCATAGTGTCTTAGTTGCTATAGATTTGACTCAGATCCAATTTCTGACTTAAAACCAGATCTGTAGCTGCTTGTGTTTGTCCCACTAGCCAAGGTCCCCACTCCTCTTTATCGTAGTCTATAGACGGCACTGTTTAAACCATCATACTGAAAGAACATGGCCCAGACCCCAGACCAAGCCCACAGGCACAGGGACGGAAGCTGCCCTGGCACCTCCTCCACCACACTCAGCATAGTGTCGCCCGCCCACTCCCACTCTGCACTTACTGTGCCGGCTGCTCCATGGATGGTCCCTACCCATTTGAACAGGTTGTCTGATTCAGGGAAGGCGGAAATTCCTTTGTCACCAGATGTCTGGGGAAGGAAACACCCAACCGCTGTATTCCAGGGTACACATTCAGGCCAGGCACAGCAAAAGGGATCACCTGGGGAGTGCCTGCCCTGATCTCATTATGTCTGGCCCTAATAAAGCAGCTAGAGCCAAATCAAAGGTTGATCACCGGGCTAGGAGGAAGGGGTGGAACAGGGAAGGAAACACAAGGCGGCTTTTGCCTCCAAAATCTTGTTTGTCACCAAGAACTTAAATACTTACTAAGGCACGAAACATGTAGATTGATATTGAGGGGTAGTGGAGCAGAGGACCACCAGAAGAGAGTTCTGGGGTCTGACGGGACTAGCGGCAATTCCAAGAAGGGTGGGAATGGGTGAGGTTGGGGCCCAAAGCAATGAGGGGTGAGCCCAGATAAGCCTCCTATGACCAGGAAGGCAGCTGCAGTGATCAAGAAAGGGTGGGCAGTAAGTGGCTTCCCATAAGAGAGTAAATTACAACCACAGGATTAGCAAGGAGCCTGAATTGAAAGGAGGCTACTGATAATTGGGTGGGGGATGGGAAGGTAGGCCAATTGATCTTAGACCACACTCACTCACCATGAGAGTCATCAGCTCCTGCTGTAGCCTGCAAAGAGAAGTCGGGGTCACTTGGGAGCATGGATGCTGCCGAGGTGCTATATCACCTCGCAACCGTCTATCCTGAGGAGCTGTCATGGAGGGCTCGTTCCCTTCTTCAAAGGCAGGAAAGTTCGGGTGCTCATCCTCTACAGGAGGACCCGGCTGAACCTTTTGTGGCATGTTAACTCCAGGGCTCTCAGGGCGTCTTCTGAGAGCCGCCTGGCATCGTTCCTGGTGCCCCTCTGTGTCCCAAGTCTCACCGGCTACCGAAGGCGAGTCCCACGGGGTGACCTCCGCACCACTCACCTCTTGCCCACAGGGCCCCGGGCGGCGCCCCCGCTGGGCTCGGCTCCCTTGCGAACGGCGGCGATGCTGGCAGCGGCTGGGTCGCGGTTCTGCGAGGCCATCCCGGGGTCGCTGGCACCGAGACAGGCGTGCGGAGACGAAAGGGCAACTGCGGGGCTGCGGGCCGCCGCCCGCGTTTGAATTACAACCCTCCGCAGCGCTAGCCAATCAGAGGACCGCTTGGGTTTGATCCAGCCAATGGGACGCCTCGGAGCTCTCTGCCTCTGCGCAACTGCTAGGCCACCCGGTGCCGCGCCGCGATTGGACCGAGGGGCCTACCTCGGACAGCCGATTGGTGAACAAGGCTGCCATTAACTAGCTAATCGGCGGCGGATTGGTGGCCTTTGGACGACTCCATTAAAGGGTCAAGGAACAGTCCACGTGTATATGCCCCTTCCTCAACCCCGTCGGGTCTTTTTGGGACCCAGACTCCTGTCGCAGGTCTGTAATTTGGCTGTGCAGCCAGGTATAATCTTGACCTTTTGATCGTCCTTGCCTTCACTTCCCAGTGTAGAGGTTTCAAGAATGAGTGCACCACACGCCAGGCAGTGGTTAGTCCAAATTCCCTGGTCCCGTCAGGTACACGCCCAGCAGGAATCACTTCTTCCAGAAGAGTCTAAGCACTTGAGAGTGTTATCCTCCCCCAAGCCGGAAGCCTTTTCTCTTCACTCTGTTAAAATAACTTAGTTACTTCTGTTGGGGTCCCAAGAATTTAAAAAGCCTAGGAAGGTGCATGAACCTAAGGCTTGTCACACTAGACTCCCTTTTTATTAGTAAACATGGGTTCTGGTGGTGCATGCCTTGGAAGGTAGAGACAGGCAGGTCAGGATCGAAGCTCATCTCTAGGCTATAGGCTAGCTGGGCTATAAGAGACGGTGTCTCAAAGAAACTAAAACGGGATCTGATGGTGCTGAAAGCCTTTAGTCCCAGCCAGGCTGATGGGGTTCAGCCAGAGCTACACCTAAGAGATTCCCGTCTAAAATGACTCAAAAAAAAAAAAAAAAAAAAAAAAAAAAAAAAAAAAAGAGGGAGGGAGGAAAGGAAGAGAGAGGGAGAGAAATGATGGCTCTCCTGTAGGCATGCTGTGCGGCTGTCAGCAGGTCAGCCTGTAACACTGGGGATATACAGGGCAGCTGCATTTTTCCTTTGGTAGGTCATCCCTGGGCTAGCTGTCACACGGTGCAACATTCCTAAACTGTGACTGGCAAAGAACACAGTGTTCCTAGGAAGATAGGGATGGGTGGGCAGGTAGGTGGTCCTTTTCTGGTGTGCCTACTTCTTCAGCTCTTGTTCTGTCAGCAGTCATTGCAGCAGGCTCACCACCTGTGTTTATTACAAACTGTTTAATCGCTTCTTACTCCAGTAACTTTAAAAACACAAAATCACATGCCAGTCTGGGTGCTCTGCTGTGAGTCACTACAAACTAGCTCATATACAGCTTAATGCTGCAAAGATCCAACTAGACCAAGTCCCCATGATGCCTCAGCTGGGCCGGGAAAGAGGGTCTTGGAGGCAGGCTGCCAAGGGTAGTAGCCAGGACACTGGCTCAAGTCTGGGGAGGCGCTTCAGCAGCACGATGCTCATTTTCTGTCCGTAGTGTCTCCATGTACTTCCGCATCTTCTCAACCATCCAGGATGGCAGGACAAAGGATTTCAGTTCCTCCAACTTCAGGTCCAAGCATCCTCTGGAGGAGACATTGGTGGGACATTAAAGGGAGAGTGACATCTCATCCATGTGCCTACTGAGGAAGATGGAGGATAGGGAAGGAGCCCTTCTGTTTTACCTGTAGTCATCGCTGGCAGCCAGGTCTCGGATGTCCTCCTCAATGAGAAGGTAGGCCTAAGGGCAAGGGAGAGTGATTAAGGCCTGTGATTCATTTCACACCAATTCAGAACCGCTGTATTAAATATCCTACTAGGTTACAGGTTACTAGGGAGTAGGCAGGAAGACAATGGGAATGGTTTCTTGAGAGCATCTTGCACCCAGACAGAAACTTTGCAGGCAGAGTAGATAACAGTGACTAAAAAAAAAAAAAAAAAAAAAACTTGACCAGGCTGTCCCTGAACTTCCTGACTCAAAGAGGACTGCTTCCTCGGCCTTCAGAGTAGCTGGATTCCAGGCATGTGCCATGGAGCCTGGCTTTGCTGATTATTTATAGCCTTCCCACTAAAAAAAAAAAAAAAAAAAAAAAAAAAAAGTAATAATAAAAGATTGATGTGGTTTATAACAAAATGGTGAAAGCTAGCAGAATGCAGGAGACAGTAGAAAGTGATGTTCACCCTGGGGACTCAGACAACATGGTTGTGCTCTTGTGCAGAAGGAAGGGTTCAGTTAACAGTGCTGAGGGCCTCCTGGGTCGGTACAACGCCACAGCCAGTGGTCCTAGAGCTCATATACGATATCTGTTTGTGTTTCTGTAGCTGGGATTGACCTGTAACTCTTGTAGGCCAGGCTGGCCTTGAACTCATTGCAGAACTCCTGTTTTAGCTTCAAAGTGCTGGGATTATAAGCATGTGCCACATACACAGACACAACACACATTAAATAATGTAGTATATATTTTTAAAAATTAGTGCTGGGGATTAAATCCACCTGGGGACGTCATACAAGCCAGGCCAGCACTCTACCCCTGAGCCATATTATCCCCATCAGCTTGCCTCACTCCCTTTAATTGCTTTTTTGAGATGGGGTTTCATGTAGCCCAGGCTAGCTTCAAACTTGTCAGATAATGAAGGCTGGCTCCTAATGTGGCCTTAATCTCTCAAATGCTGGGATTACAGATATCTTACAACATTACTGGCCTTCTTGGGGGGGAAAAAAGATTTTAATAAATTTGAGACAAGGTCTTGCTAAGTTGCTCAGCAGGGCCTTGAACTTGCTCTGTAGCCTAGCAGGCCTTGAGTTAAAAATCCACCTGGCCAAGCTGGTGGCACCATTAATCCCTGCGCTCAGGAGGCAGAAGCAGGCTTGAGGCTGGTCTACATGTCAGTTCTAGGACAGCCAGGGCTACAGAGAGACTCTATCTCAGAAGAAAAAAACAAACAAAATGCCATGCCTCAACTTCCTGACTTGTTCTGAGGTTCTGCTCCTTCTACTGCTGCCCCTCTTCATCCTCCTCTTCCTTTTGGGGCAGGGTCTCACTGTAAAGCTATGGCTGGCCTGGAACTCCCAATGATCTGACTTTCTCTGCCTTCCAAATGCTAGGATTAATGATGTGCACCACCACGCCCAGCCCTGCTCATCTGTTTCTACTTCATGTTACATTGCATTTTATAAGTGGGAACAATCTGTATAAAAGTGTAGGCAGTCACAACATAAGAGAGCTCTCACTGCTGAAAAGCAGATGGCATAGACAGGCATAGAGCCAGGAGAGTCAATTAGGGACAGTCCTGACAGAATCCTCAGGTGAAGGACACTGCATGTGGAGAAAGACATCCACAGCCATCTCAGTCCGTACAACAATGATCCTATGGCTGTTGCTTGATTTGAGATGAGATGTCTTGGAGTGGATGCAAATTTGGAGAGTGTTGTTAGGTGTGGAGAACATTTTCTTTTTCTTTCTTTCTTTCTTTCTTTCTTTCTTTCTTTCTTTCTTTCTTTCTTTCTTTTCTTTCTTTCTTTCTTTCTTTCTTTCTTTCTTTCTTTCTTTCTTT